ATCGTTTTCAGCATTATCATACCATCATCATCATCAGCAGCATCATCAGCATCATCATCATCATCATCATCATCATCAGCATCATCATCATCATCAGCATCATCAGCATCAGCATCAGCATCATCATCATCATCATCAGCATCAGCATTATCAGCATCATCATGATCAGCATCATCATATTCATCGTTTTCAGCATTATCATACCATCATCATCATCAGCAGCATCATCAGCATCATCATCATCATCATCATCATCATCATCATCGTCAGCATCATCATCATCAGCATCAGCATCAGCATCAGCATCATCAGCATCATCATCATCATCGTCATCGTCATCATCATCATCATCATCATCATCAGCATCATCATCATCATCATCAGCATCATCATCATCATCATCATCCTCCGCTCTTCCGATGATCCTGCTCTGCCCTCCCGCTGCTGCTGCTACTCCGTCCCTTGCCCGTGGCCCCTGCCTCCTTTCTCCTCGTCGCTATTCCTCTCCATCATTATCGCCACTCCGTCTCGAGCCGAGGTGCTGAGGGCTTTCGAAATTGAGGGGGAGGAGCTGCCCGCCATTTTAATGGCGGAGCGCCAAAAGTTTGATGTTTATGTGTTTGATTATTCTTCGACTCAACCTTCTTGGACGAAACTTGCTAATGTGCTCACAAACAAGAAACTGACAACAAATGTCAAACAAACAACAAGCAAAATCAAAAAATCGTCCCCTGACTATGTGTTGACTATGTTTGATCACTCCCCCTGTAGAGGGACAGGCCCGACTGAACTCAATCTCGCCGCGCCTTCGCCGTCCTCCTGCGACCAGCCTACAGGGGGACGTTGGACGAAAGATAAAACATATCATCAGAGATACCCCCCACACATGCTGACCCAAAAATGCGTCCCCTGACTGTTTCAACTACTTCAAAACATTCTCCCTGTGGGAGGACAGGCCCGACTTAACTCAATCTCGCCGCGCCTTCGCCGTCCTCCTGCGACCAGCCTCCAGGGGGATTTGGGACGAAAGACAAAACATATCACAAAAGAAATGCTCACCCAGAAATGCGTCCCCTGACTACGTCAACTCTTTCTAGATATTCTCCCTGTAGAGGGACAGGCCCGACTTAATTCAATCTCGCCGCGCCTTCGCCGTTTCAGGGATCTTCTGACCCGGGTCAATCCAGACCCGGGTCAGCAGGAAACCAAAAACTGCAATGCAGGAGAAAAAACTGCACCGAAGGTCTTCGCAAACCCGGGTCGGCCAATAGGCGCGGCCGCCTCGCGGCCACGAGCGGCTCGCTAACCTGGGTCAGCCAGAGGGGGCCTTCGCAGGATCCTGCAGGATCTGGCGCCCTGGCCGACCCCCGTTTGCATTGACCCCCGTCTCTTAAGCTCCGAAGACATTTTGGGCGTGGCTTCGTGGGGGGAGTCAGAATCGGCCCCCCTTCGTGCCCCTTTCGGGCCCCTCCGGAGCCCCAGGGGGCTCGTTTAGGCACTGTTTGGGTGCCTTTTCGGACCACCCTCGCCACCCCCAACCCCACCCCTTATGACCCCCACACTACGCAACGCCCAAAGAGACACTCCCACTCAAGGCTCCCGAGCCTTCGCCGTCCTCCTGCGACCAGCCTCCGGGGCCTCCCCCCCCGCGGGCCCGGCGGCACGCGCAGAGCCACAAAGCCAAGGGCGAGCCGCCCAGAGCCGAGGGCGAGCCGCCAGCCGCGCGCAGCTGTCGCAGCTTCCCGGCGACCCCCAGGGGGGTGACGCCCGCGGGGTAAGGCGACCGTGTCGAGCCACGGTCACCCTAGCGCGCGCCCCCGCGCGCGCCGCCGCCTCGGCGCAGCTGCGCGCCCGAAGCCGTCGGGCAGGCCTCACCCCGCGCCGCCCTCAGCAGCCTTGCCACCTTGGCGGCCAAGCCTGGCGAGCTGCTGCGCTCCCTCGCGCGGCGCCGCGGCCTCGGCCAGCCGCCGCTGCCGTCTGCAGCCCCTGCTTCGCATCGAGCAGCAGAGCCACCTGCAGGCGGCAGGCTCACGCCCAGCATCCTGGCCCCCCTGTCCTCGGCGCTGCCGCCCACAGCCCCTGCTTCGCTTCGAGCAGCAGGTTCACCTGCAGGCGGCTGGCCCCCCTCCTGCTGCCTGGCAACCTTGGCCACGCGAGGCGAGCTGCAGCGCTCGCTCGCACGGCGCCGCGGCCCAGGCCCGCCGCCGCCGCCCGCGGGCCCCTCCTCACTGCCAGCAATGGGGCCGCCAGGCAGCAGCTGGCTGGCGATCCGCCGCCTGGCCACCTTGGCCCCGCTGTGCGGCGACGGCGAGCGGCTGCGCCCGCGCTCGCCACCCCGCTGGGGGGAGCCATCCCCTCCTCTGCCCTCGCCGTGGGCCACCTGTGCGGTCACATGCGCTTCCGCACCTCCGTCCTCGCCACTGGCCGCCAGCGCCAGGTCCGCC